GTTTTCCTCCACGTGTTTCGTGCACGAGGATGTCTCTTCTGAGGGGGGGGGCTCAGCAAGAACCGAGAAGGACCCACGCGAGGGAATCCACGCCAAGATTTTTTAAAAAAACTTGAAAATGAGAAACGCACCCATATTTTTTGCCCACGGAATGAAACGCAAAGCACTGCAGATTGTTACCGCTGATCATTCAAGGTGGGGCGAAAAGAGAAGAAATGTAGGAGGAATAAAAAGGCCCTTCCTTACCGGCCGAGGAACCTGGAAGGAGGGTTTCCATGCCTTTTACGGTGTTGCTGTCCGGATGCAACATGGTATCACTGCTGATGGTTTATTTAGGTCAACATGGTTTTGTGTTACGTTTCTAAAAGATAAATAAAAATATTCTTTGTTATTGTTTTGTCTGGAGGGGTATTCCATCACATCAACCATCGCCAGCAGCCTCACACTGCATGATGGTCACCACAGTGAAAAACAGGTCTAATGTCAGTGGGGTGGGATGGTTTTGCGCAATTTTTTAAGCCTGCAGGTTTGAAGTGGGACCACCTCCCGCCGGGAGTGGAAGGTCGAGAGTTTGGTTCCCTCCTTGCGCCTTGGAGGGGAAGAGCCAGGCTTCTGTCGGGCCTCCCGAAGCCAAAGGCCCCCCAACGTTGGGCGCCAATATATGAAGGTTCAACTTCAGGCTCCTCTTTCGGTCCAAAGAAATCAGTAGATCTTTGTTGCTTCAAAACAGGTGAAAGATTTATTGGTGCATTTAACCAGAAACAAGGGTCCGTGACATGATTCTGGGTCTTTTCTCCTTCTGCCAAAGAGGTCCGGATGGGGTCTCCCGTCTTCCAACAGGAACGGGGTGCCATAACTATGGTTCCAGGGTCCCGGTCAATCAGGGAGGACCCCGTCTCTCGCACGGTGTGCCCCGTCAAACCCTCCGGCCAGGGCACGGTCTCGTCCTCCCGATCGCCATCCCACGGGGTTCATCCCTCAGGGTCCTGATCCTCCCAGGGCCCTCCCTGTAGGCCTTCTTCCTCATCTCCCTTCTTCTCCCTTCTAGCCTCTCCTTTCTCTCTCTCCTCTTTCCTTCTCTTCTCTCTACCTCCTCCTCTACTCTCAATCCTCAGCTTCTCCCCAATAAGAGGGTCTGGGGGGGGAATCTCCTTCTTCTGTAATCTGCCTCATTTTAGGCACTCTCAGCCTCTCCCATCATCCCACCCAGGGGTCCTCCAGCCACCCCCATCCCCAGCATGCTCTCCTTCCTTTTTTACCTCCCCTGCTCCTGCCTCAAACACCACCCTCTTCTTCCTCTCTTTTCCCACCTTTTCCCCCCAGGATCTCTCTTGTGGTCACATCCTGCAAGTTCTCAGTCAACTCCCCTATTTCTGTCCTTTGCTGAGCTTCTGCCGCAGGTCCTGGTGCCGGCAGCTGGTTGACTCTCCTCCTTCGTCTTGTTGTAGGGGAGGGACGGCTCTCCAGTGAGTGGGGCACCCCTCTCGCCTTCTGTCTCACCGTTTTATACTATTGTTGTTTAGTCATTGAGTCATGTCCGACTCTTCATGACCCCATGGACCAGAGCACGCCAGGCCCTCCTGTCTTCCACTGCCTCCCGGAGTTGGGTCAAATTCATGTTGGTAGCTTCGGTGACCCTGTCCAACCATCTCATCCTCTGTCGTCCCCTTCTCCTCTTGCCTTCACACTTTCCCAACATCAGCATATTTTCCAGGGAGATGTCATATACACTGGTACATCTGTCATGAGAAACACAGGGTATGCTTCCTTAAACTCGATAAGGGGGGGGGGGGAAGCTAGGAAAGGGATCATGATTAGCATGCATGCCTCAGCAATCAAACTTTAAAATTGCACCCATATTTATCTTCCAGCAAGAATCATATGCTGTGACACTCAGATGCCTCTCAACAGTTGAGGGAGCACCTCTCATAAAAGCAAGCTAAATATATTCATATAGCCATATATATTCAGAGAATCAGGAATATTGCCCGATTTAAATCTAATTGCTCCAGAGAAATGTCTTGACTGATGGACCCATCACATATTTGGACAGTATTATGGCCAGTCCTTGTGGGGGTGATCATCATGATCGGTGCTGCTGCTGTGTCGTTACTATAGTCATTGTGGATAAGAATGTGGTTAGTCCAGAATTCTGTGTTGCCTTAAACGCACCGGCGAGAGGCCAAGCCTGCTCGTAGCTACTCAGGATGAATAAGTTCCACTGAGATTCTGCTGGACTTATTTGTGAGTAATCAGGCAACTTTTTGAGTAGCACTGCTAAGCATTTCAAGATGTTCAGCCAACTGGCCTGTTTGGCAATGTTACTGTTTAACACGCACCTGCCAAGAATTGTGCTGTTGGGTTTTTTTCTTACACTGAGTGATTTTTGGTGTATTTTCGGAACCCAGGGAGAATGCCAGCTTATCAGTCCAGCTTGCTTTAGCTCTGGATAGAAATCAGAGTGTTTTGTTTAATGTAAACGTCTTTCACTTCCTGACAACAGTGAGAATTCTGGTGTCACCCCCAGGAGACTTGTCCTACCAGCAACCAGAGTAAGTGGTGTCTCGCTTAACGACGATAATCCGTTCCAGGAAAACCACCGTTAAGCGAAAACATCGTAAAGCGAAAATAAAAACCCCATCGAAACGCATTGAAACCCGGTTAATGCGTTCCAATGGGGTAAAAACTCACAGTCCAGCGAAGATCCTCCATACAGATGTATAGCGAGGAATCCATCCCTAGAAAACAGTGGGGGGCCATTTCGAAAGCTGGCAGCCATTTTGAAGCCGCCATTCAGCTATTTAAAAAACATTGTTTTGTGAAGAATCGGATCCCGAAGCAAGGAACTGATCATCGCAAAGCGAAATTCCCCCATTTAGACCATCGTTTTGCGATCGCAATTGTGACTGCAAAAAGACTGTCATAAAGCGGATTTGTTGTAATGTGGGGCAGTTGTTAAGTGAGGCACCACTGTATTTCACTTCTGCTTATGTGCATCATGAGGAAGCTGGCTGGAGAGCACAGTGGGTTTGGTCTCTAGCTACGAAGGTAGAGGTTAGGAGTTCGATTGCCTGTGGTAAGAAAAGCCAGCCTGTGTAGCCTTGGGCAAAGCTGCACAGTCCAACAGCACCCCTAGTGGAAGGGAAGGGTAAAGCACTTCTGAACACGTATTCTCTGCTTGGAAACCCCTGGAAAAAGGGTCACCCTAAATCAGGATTGACTTGATAGCACATGATCATTATATCTGCATCAATGGTCATGGAAAATTATACGGGACCAAAGAAAAGTACACCCCCAGCAAAAATCAATAGATATGCTGTGATTTTTAGGGGCGGAAGTCCTGGTTGACCTTTTTCGTGTTGTTCGCTAGTTTGTGCCACAGAATGTTATTCTGGGGGACTGAAGTGCTGTATCCTGATTTGTGAGAGTTAATGTTGGCCCCGTCAAACTTTGCACATAATTTCTTATTTTCAAAACTTTATTCCCAGCATGTCC